GAACATTAAAATTTGAGTTCTAAACATATAAATGGTTAATGCCGTTAACAGTGAAAAGTATTTTAAAAATAAACAAAAAAAAAAAAAAAAAAAAAAAACCTTGAATTTCGACAAAAACTTCTTTTTAGACTAAGGTCCACCTTGCAAGGAAGACCCCGGTCCACACCATAATTAGCAAATAATGTGGGCTGAAATATTAAAAGATATGTTAACCTTTTTTTTTTTTTTTTTTGAATACTACTAGCTCTACTAGTACAGAGGCTCGAAATCACAATCTTCCAAATGGAAGTCCAACCCGGATACCATTAGACCACATAGTCCTGGTAAAGATATGTTAACCTAATTAAGGTAATAATATATTTATAGATTTGTTCTCGATTATTTTAACATTGTCGTTTCTGTTTCAAGATAAATAAAAATTAATTCTAACATTATATTGACTCATTTATTAGTTAGTAATCGGTGGAAGAGATAAAATTTAATTTCTGTTTAAATTTGCTATTACTTTTTTTCCCAACGTAACAGTGAAAACGAAAACTAGATTTACGATTAGTTTATTTTTTTCTTGAAAATTAAGGTATGATCTGTTTAGGTGGTTTATAACATACGAGGCTGACCAGCAGTCATCTATATATGAATGTGTGGAAAGAAAGAAAGAATGAATGTGTGTGGCAATTAATAAGGTCAATCACGCATTCATCTGCCAGCCATAATGCACACAGGCAAAGACTGGTAGCTAGCTTTGACCTCCGTCACAATTTAATTTTTCCAAACTAACCAAACCAAACAAGAGATAGGAATACAACTATTCTTCGATCTAAATTAGCTACCATATTGCCAAAGACCTTGTGATCAAGCGGCATAACTGTGACTCTCTCAAATGGAAGGTCACATATTTAAACCCTAGTGAGGACAGTGATTCTTTGTGCTTCAATAGGTTGAAAAGTATGTATAAACAGATACTACATTGTAACAGAGTCAATAGTACTAAAAAAAAAATTAGCTACCATCTGTAGATAAACCCACGTAGACTATCATGGGCAGTGGCGGAGTCAAGATTTTTTTTCAGCGAGGGCGAAGAAGCAAAGGGAAAATAAATTCAAAAATGTTCAAATACAAATAAGATTGTTAAAATAAAAATACATTATAAATTACAATATAATGTTTATGATAAACTATGGGATAATACGTCACTAAACAATGTTAAAATCTTTATAGAACTGATTCATTTGAAACTTGATCAAAAATATCTTTTTCAACATGCGGCACTAAACAATTATTTAATAAATCATCACTGAACTAATTACTAATCAAGTTAATAAATTAAGTAATTAGTAATTAATTAGCAAAAACTATATAAAAAACTAACACCAGCAAAAACTATAATACTAGTAATTAATTAACAGTAATTAACAGTTAGCAATTAATAAATTTAATAGTAATTTTAACAGTAAAGTAGTAAATTTAACAACTAGCCATTAGCAATTAGTAACTAACCGTTTGTAATTAATAATTAACAGAAACTAACAGTTGGAGTTATATAATTTTGGGCAGTAGGAGCAGCTGCCCCCATGCTCCCTCCGCCACTGGTCATGGGCCTAGTCCATATGAGCGAGTTCAGGCACAGTTCATGTACTATTGTGCATGTGTCTGAGTTGGCGCGACACGATCCTATATATAGTGTTAAGTTGCATCATGGCACCCTTCATAAATGTACCTGACCCAATCGACATTATATTATTTTATCTCTTTTAAAAATTTAAATTTGTGGGTTAAGAATGTAATAATTTAAATCTTTTTTACATGTAATTAAGGTAAATTGATTCAAGATATTTTATAAAGAATATCACACATGAATTACAAGAATCGTTATGTAATAGTTTAATTTTTGTAACTTGCACTAATTTTAATTCAAAATTGTAAGTTTTTAGTTTATAAATTTTAATTTTATAAATGTATAAAAACTCTATAATTTAACAATTATACAAAAATGTAATAAAATCAATAATTATAATTATAAGGAAAAATGGCACTTTCCCCCTCAATTATTTATGTAAGCACATTAGCCCCCCTCAATTATTTTAAAAGTGGTGGTTTTTCCCCCTAATATATTAAATTGACATTTCTACCCTTAAAGTAAATATTTTATTTATTTTACTTCTCCAACAAATTATTGCATATATATAGCGATTACCACGGTTCGGTTCGAACTGAACCAGACACTATAGCAATCGAATTAAAAGTTTTCGATTATGATTCAGATCTAGAACCCAATATTTGGATTTCAATTTATTAAATTTAAGAATAAAAAAAATGGATCATGAACTGTGAACCGGCGGTTCTGGATCCGGTTCGCGATTTTGAACCATCTTTATTTTAAAGTTTTATTTTTTTATTTTAAAATAGTCTAAATTTAACAATAAATGTTTTTTATTTTTTTCAGTTCAGAACATGAACCGGCCATTCCGGTTCGCAATTTTAATAAAATCTAAATATCGCGTTTTGATTATAAATTGTAATTGGGATATTTTGGTTTGGTTGGTATAGTATATGTTTGGTTTGAACCAAATTATAGTAATAATTTGTTGGAGAAGAAAAATAAATGAAATATTTATTTTAAATATTTATGTTAAGGGTAAATATGTCCATTTAACATTTCAGGGGGAAAAAGAGCCACTTAAGTAATTCAGGGGAAAAAAAATGTTATAAGTATATAATTCAGGGGGAAAAAGTGCCATTTTCCCTAATTATAATTATAATTCAAAAATTATTGGGAGTCTTGAATTGGCCAACTCCACTAATTTTTAATGAAAAATTAAAGTATTCAATCAAATTAGTGAAGAAAATTTTGGAGGGGTGATTTTCATTAACTTTTTGGAGGGAAAAGTTGTTTAGATTGACTAAATACCAAATTAATCCTTTATATAATAAAGCTATATGATTTGGGAAATAATTAATGTTACAATTAATGCCACAACCTCCTTTATTATAAAAAAAAAAACACAACATTTAAAAACAAATAGCTATATATTATATAATCATATAAAAAATATACTTTTGAAAAATAAAATAGCTATATATTATATAATCATATAAAAATTGTGTTCAATTAGAGTTTAAATTTACACATACAAAATTTGAAATTTGCTTTCCAAATGTAATTATCTTAGTTATTATTTGTATTGTGAAAATTATAATATAGATGAAATACAATTAAGAATAAATCAATGTAATTATGTAAATTCTCTCTATAAGTTTATTTGAATATGCACATAATTAGAGATTATATTAACCATACAAAATTATAATTTTAATATTAATTTTAATTTTAATTGTAATTTTGTATTCTATAAAAATAATAAATACTTGACCAATGGAAGCTCAAAAATATTATTATATTAAATAATTTAAAATATTTTAGTTTTTCTATTTTTTATTTATATTTATAATAACATAATTTTTTTCCGTGCATCGCGCGAGTGAATTACTAGTTTTCTTAATATTTCAATAATTATTAAAAGAAAATCTTCCAACAGTTAATGTTTTTAAAAGATACACACCAAACACTACATCTTTACCTCATCCGAAAATTTAATGTTGAAGGATTGCGTCTCTCTCTCCCTCCACAAACACGTTGTCCAGGTTCCATTAAGGGATTTTAGGTTTTGTATATTTCAATTTCATTTTTGTAAATATTAAAAATAAAAACTAAATTGATATTTTTGTTTCATTTTCGATGGATTTAGTAATCTATACGAATTACATTGCATATATATATTATGTTTTAATATTTTGTTGGATTTAGCATAAAATTTATGTAACACAAATTAAGAAATTGGGAAAACAATGATTTTTTTTCATAAATGAAATGTTTCAGAAACGGAAAAAAGTAGGTTAAAATTATTGCAGACTTTGAAGTGGGTTTAGGGTTTAGGGTGTGTTTGGTGCATGAGGTTAGATACAAGGAATGGAATGAAATTCATACACATTATTGTTTGTTGACAATTTTTTAAAATACAGGCACGGGTATTTCTTTAAGGGGAATACTCACCTATACAACCTATTAGGTCAAATGCCTCCACTGAGGCTCAAATTTATGACCTCCCACATAAGAGAGCAACATGATATCATTGAATCATAAGGTCCTTAGTAAAACATGGGTAATTGATTACCCCTATAATTAAAAAAACTCATTATCTAATTTAAATCAGGTACCATTCCTTTAATTCAATCAGCCTTATCCCTGCTCATTTAATCACCTCCTCGTCCCGTCGCCTCCTCATCATTTCATTGACTCCAATCCCTCACTACATTGCCTACTCATTTCATCGCCACTCATAATATTGATTGCCTTAATTTTTTGTTTTGGTATTTAAAAACCTTTATTATGATTATAGGATCCTAAATAACCAAATATCAATATTGGTAATCATTCTAATTCCACCCTAGCTACTACCAAACATTCAAAATACTTTTCCACCAAAACTCAGTCCAATTACCAAGTATTTGGTTCTCATTCTGGTTTAGATTCCCATGTTAGAACCAAACACACACTAAATATGTATATGAGTATGTTCTATGCAAGTTGAAACACATTTGATCCACAACTGCTTAATCGATATATAACTGATTAAAATGAGTGAAGTATGGTTCTAAGGAGTATTTCCCTCCAACAACAACAACAACAATAATAATAAGCATACATACATTTTATTACACCACTGACAATCTGCAATATCGATCTTGAGCAGTCTACAAACATAAACATACAACAAACCATTAATAATAATATTAAAAACTGTTTTTTTTTTTTTTTTTTTTTTTTGGTCTCTCTGATCTATTACATGTATCAACCAACGTTATAACATGTTATGGAGTTGAGAGAGATCGAGACATTGCAGTAGTTATTATTATATTGTTAGTCCCTCAAACTGAAGATCACACAATCATTATATATATATATATATATATATATATATATATATATATATATATATATATTATATGCTAGCCGATTGAAAACAAGGGGGTAGGTGAGGATCCAAATCATGGTAGAAAATCATCATCATCATCAACCCATCTTCAGTACTGAAGGGGAAGTTCATGTGTTGGAAAGGATTCAGAGGCTGATTATTATTATTATTTTCAGAAGTTGAGGGCAGGGGGGTAATGTCGTGATGATTAGATTGTTGGTTGTTTTGGGCAGCAGCGAAGAACACATCCTCGTTCATCAACGAATCAAAGATTGTCGAAAACGCATCCTCGTCCGGGCAAAAATCCATCCCAACATTATCCTCATTATCGTCTCCGATATCCATATTAAACTCCTCATCCCCATTTCCAGTAGTCTGATGATTCGTCGTCCCTCCCACGCTGTTGGGCTGATCAATCTGATGATTTGTCGTCCCTCCAACAACGTTAACGGTAGTACTGCTATTGATCTTCACTGTCTTGTCTTGGTTGGAAAGACCAACGTGAATGGGTGTGGGTTTTATTATGGGAACTGAGGAGGAGGAGGGGTTATGGTTTTTGGGGTGGTTGGAATTGGTAGGGTTTACGAGTAGAGGCTTGTGGTTTCTTGGATCAATGCCTTGGCTAATCAGCTTCTTGGTGAGATGAGTGTTCCAATAGTTCTTTATCTCGTTATCTGTCCGGCCTGATATCCTCCCTGCTATCAGTGACCACCTTCATACCATAGCAAAATAAAAGGAATCAAAGTCTCAAACCCTAAAGCAAAGTGAGATTGTAATAATCTTGTGACAAAAGGTGGAATCGCCTATCCCAGTAGGATGACAGATTATGATGACTCAACTGATGTTATTGGTGAGACTCAATCTTTGATCTCTGATCTTGTGATAAGTTTGTGACTAATTGAACTGTCTATTCGGGCTGGATTATAATAATCTAATGGAGGGTGGTATGTACCTGTTGCCTAGGAGGCGGTGGAGGCGGAGAATGAGATCCTCTTCGTCGGGGTGATGTGGCCGCGTTTGACGGTGGGGCGGAGGTAGTTCATCCAGCGGAGCGGCAGCTCTTGCCGCAGCGGAGGAGGCCGGCCATCTTGGGTAGGGTTCGCCACTGCCCCTCGCCTTCCTTGTTGATGTAATCAGTCAACAGCTTGTCTTCCGCCGGCGTCCATGGCCCTCTCTTCAGCCCAACCTTGCTGCAGCACGGCGTCCGCTTCCCCTTCGCCTTCGCCGGCGGCGAAGCCCCGGCGGCAACTTTTTCAGATGACTGAGTTCTCATTCCCTCTCTTTCTCTCTCTCTCTCTCTCTAGGTTTCTCTCCGCTCTCTCCCCTCTCTCCCTCTCTTATAAGGATATTCTATTTGAGTGAGGTTGCTACTCACGTTTGTCTCGCTTCTAGGCTTTCATGGTTTCTCTGAGTTGCCTTTCTACGTACTAGGTTACTCAAACATTTTGGTGAGTTATTATAATGGGGAATCATAAACAATAATTTTTTATCCCTCTATTCTGAATTTCTGATCTCCTCCTCTTATTTTTGCCCGCACCATGCACGCAAAAATCTATAACAATCTATAAGTAATGAAATTAAATATAGCTTTTAGGTTTTCAAAAAAAAAAAATAGCTTTTAGAAAAATCTATAATAGATTATATAAAATGGTATTAATTAATATATAAATTGTACTTCAGTCACTCAAGTATATGATCATCATTTTTTATATCTCAATTATATGTAAAGTAACTTTTTTTTTGTCCCTAAAATTTTTAGAGAGCAGCTAATTAACCCAATTTTAGTTAAATTCTGGAATAAAAAACTTACTTTGCAAACAATTGATGAGCAACAAAAAGTACGTGATAAAATAATTAATTGAGGGACAAAAAGCGCTATTTTATTTTCAATAATTTGGGGATAAAAATTGCAAGTTTCCTTATAATCTCATTTATTAGGGATAAATTGGGTGACAAACATTTATTGCAACACTTAATGTTATTTTATAGGATAAATTGGGTGACAAAGCCATCAAACTTTATCTAAAAAGTCAATTAGACCTTTAACTTTTTAAAGTAGCAATTAAATCCATCAAAATTGTATTTTGGTGCAATGAATTGAAGTCCAAAAATTGGTTAGTGACCTGATATCACAGGTCATTAGCAGGGTTTCGGTTAACATTTCAGCTAACTCTAATGATATTTTCGGCAATGTTGACCGGAACCCTAGTGACCTGTGATAGTAGGTCACTATCCGATTTTTGGACTTCATTGCACCAAAATACAATATTGATGAGTTTAATGGCTACTTTAAAGTTTAAGAGCCTAATTGATTTTTTAGGTAAAGTTCAATGACTTATTTGACCATTTTTCCTATTTTATATATAGAGAATGGTTCATGTGTGAATGTAACATACTCTCATGTAAAAAGTGATGATTAATTAAGGATTTTTTTTAAAAAAAAAAAAATTCTCTTCAACATAATTAATTGTAGTTTGAATTTACGAAATTACAAAACCACTCAGATTGCAATATTATTGCAAAAATGTTCAGATTGCAATAATATAAGCATAACTGTATTAACATTAACGATATGTCACACAACCTAACCATAAATGTGTTATGATGTACATAACGATTTAACGCCTGCTTTTCCACCAAAAATGTAAAAGAACGCCTTTTTTGGATGAAATATTTACAGAATCATATACGCAAATATGTTTTTAAGTGGAGTATAATTACTAAACTTGGAAAAATAAATGACTATTACGACAGTGTTTTTTTTTTTTTTTTTTTTTGAAGACATTACCACAGTTTTAGAGTTCTACTACATAGACTCCTAAATCATACTTCCTAAATTTTACTCGCTGGGTATTGATATGTTACCTTTTTCATGTGGGTCTCAATAAAAGTGTCTACATCAAGATTTTGTGTGGGGGTAAAAGTTAGAAGTAAAAAATAAGAGTACATGTAGTATTTTTTGGCATAAATCCAAATATAACGTGAATGATTGTATCTAATATAGAATACGTCTCTGTACTGATCAACACTTTTAAAAAATCATAAATTTATATCTAAAACTTTTTGTATCTTGCAAATTAATAGAGGATTTGCCAGCTAATTAAGCAGATATGTAATGAAAAAAGAATTTATTGGGATGCACATATTAAATGACTTTATCTAAGTTGGTTTAGAAGTTGGGAAAGTATGATATTAATCAAGATCTCATCTTTAAATTAAAGTCAATTTGAAGTAATTTTTCATTTTGAGATGAGAGAGAGAGAGAGAGAATTGCATTTTGAGGTGATTGCAATTGACTAAAAGGTTAGCAATGGCCATTAAAGACATTCCAAATCAGTCAGAATTCACTTTCAAAGGAGTGAAAGGCAAATAGGGCATCCATGGTGGCTTAGCTGGACACCTATCTAGCTACTTAATTGCCTTTCTAATTTCTTCTTTATTTCCTTAATGAAAGAGTTAGCTAGATTAATTGATGGCCACATTTCACTTAATTATCACTGCTAAGTTGAGTGCTAGGCATAAATGGAGGAGTTAGAATCAAAACCCAGTATTTTTTTAATAATATACTAGTATTTGCCCGTGCGATGCACGGAATGAATTTGTTGTATATATTAAGAATATTTAGATTGATATATAATTATTTAAATTAGAATATCAAATATTATTTTGTGCAATTGAAAATATGATTTGGGTCATTTATATGTTTTGATGTTATTATTGCTTGAATTTGAGCAAATAATTGCTCAAATTAATAGCTAATGTGTAGATATACGCATGGTGCTGTAACTTTGAAGATTTTATTTATCATTGTTTAGTAA